AAAATGGCCCCGAGGGGTCCGCAAGTCAATAGAAATCAACGACAGATATTCTGGAGTCCTCCACTCCCTCTGCGCGCTATGCGAGGTAACAACTGAGACTAGGAGTCACAATGNTGGGTACCGACGCTGCACTATCTCGACGCACCGAGCACGGATTGAAAAGGCAGCAGTTGGGGCTGCTCGGGCAAAATAGTACTTGTTGTGAACACGTCTTAGATTGCAATTTGGTGCCGAGATGGTGAAATGGGCTGGAATCTGCTGGGTAATATATCGAGGCTGGTCACAGACAGACAGACTTACTTGAGCTCGTTTTGCCCCCCCCCTCCAAACAGCTTTTTTTTTAACAAAAAGCGTCCCTATCGGGCCACTTCTCTCAAAAAAAAAACTATTAAAAAGGTGCGCTCAAATAAAATGGCCCCGACAGGTCCGCAAGTCAAAAGAAATCAACGACAGATATTCGGGAGTCCTCCACTCCCTCTGCGCGCTATGCGAGGTAACAACTGAGACTAGGAGTCACAATGACGGGCCGGAGAGAATGAGGTACACCCCCTTGGTTCAATCTTGGTACTTGATAACGCAAGAANGACAGATATTCTGGAGTCCTCCACTCCCTCTGCGCGCTATGCGAGGTAACAACTGAGACTAGGGGTCACCATCACGGGCCGGAGAGAATGAGGTACACCCCCTTGGTTCAATCTTGGTACTTGATAACGCAAGAAGAGACAAGGCCATCTGGCACAGAAAAAGAGAGAAAAAGAGAAAAAGAGAAGAACACAAAAGGAAAACAATAAGGAAGAGAAAATGAGACAAAAAGAGCGGACAAAAAGGGACTAGGCCAAAAATAACAAGAAATTTGAGACAGAAAAAGGCACACGATGGAGAGACCACTAAACGTGCAACACGCAAACATGGCCACCAACCAGCGATACATTGTAATGGTACGTCATTCTCTCAGCTCCCTGCAGCACCGCCGCATTCCAGGGTACTCCCCCCTCCACCTTCGCGGCTTCTGTCCACTTTTAACTTCGGTGCCGTGTCTTTCGGTACCGGAATTCATTCCGAGACAACATGGATCGGTTTTCGTAGATCCGTGGTCGGCCCCGAATGCCTTCAGGTCGTCGGGCATACACTTCGGCCAGTTCTGTTCCTGTCCCCCCCTACGTCGCTTCTCCCCCCCTGCCAGTTCGCCGAACATCAGTCGTTTCGGGAGTCGCCCGTCCGGCTGCCTTGCCAATGCTCCCGCGAACAGTAGG